GCTCTCGCGCGCTCTCTGTCCCCGGGCGGGCTGCGAGCGGGCCCCGACCGGCCTGGGGACGCGGGAGAAGCTGCGGGCTGTGTCTGCAGCTCTGGACGGCCAGAGTTCGCTGGCCCAGGGAGCCCCCGAGGCCGCAGGGCTGAGAGGAGGCCTCCAGGGAGGCTTTTGGGAGAATGAGGGTGCGAGGATATGGGATGCCGACCCAGGACACCGGGTACGAAGGGATGACAAGGTCGGCAGGCCTATGGCTGCGCCTTCAGTCGCTCAGCTTCACCCACCCTAAGCCACATCCTGGCCCTGTGGGCGGGGGCGTGTCTCCAGCGGCTGTGCGCCTGCTGGGCCCGGGAAGCTAACCCCGTGGAGCTGCCAGCTTCCACTCCTCAGCTCCCAGCCCAACCTGGGCCCTGGCTCCGCCTGTTCTAGGGACTTTTTGTGTGACCCTGAGCAGTCGGGCACGCATGAGTCATGCTGCAGAGTGTCCAGCCCCTGACCAGTGAATGGGTGTGAGTATGGGCCCCTCCCTCTGAGGGTGAGCTGGGGGAGGCCAGGGCGGCCCCCTCAGGTCCTGCCTCTTCCTTCTGATCCTGCTCCCCAGGATGGTAGCCACACTCTGGCCCCCAGAGTTCATCTTCCTGCCCCCCCCTCCTCTGGAGCTGTGAGCCCAGCACCTGGAGGAGCGGGGCCTGGAGTCCTGGCGCTCAAGGAAAGGGTTCTGGGGTAGGACTCATGCCCTCCCCCAGGGAGAGGGGCTCTGGGGACTCATCTGGGTCCCCATGGCTGACGAGTGCAACTGGTCCTCGGGCTGGCTGAAGGAGGCATGGCCTCAGGCAGCTGCCACCTGTGATTGCAGGGTTCGGTACTAGTGACCTTCCAGGACGTGGCCGTGTGCTGCTCTCCTGCGGCAGGGCAGCAGCTGGGCCGGCCCAGTGGCCTCTGAGGGACGTGATACTGGAGAACGACAGCAGGTGGCCTCTCTCCTCTGGGCTTGGGGCGGAGGCTCGGGAGCTGCTTCCGCACTTTTGAGCCCAGAGAAGAGGGTCCTACCCTTTGTCCCCAGGCAGCAGTCTGGTCTGTGCACGTCCCCATGGGTTTCCTGCCTTGCTCCCAGTTTCAGACTTCACTCTGCGCTGCTGGCAGGAGAACCGATGCGTGAACTCCCTCCCACACTCACTCTCAGCCCCTGCTTCCCCTGACCAGCCCTTTGCTCTCCCCAAACACACACACCTGGCCTGCAGGACGCAGCACACAGTGCCCTGCGCCAACTCCCCAGGACCCTCACCCAACAGAACTCCCTGTCCCCAAGCCGGGGCTGATTTCCCAGCTGGAGAAAAATGAAGAGCTGTAGGTCCTGGATCTTCTGGGAGCTGAGAAACCGGTGGCCTTGAGCAGCTGCAGGACAGGTGAGAATGGGTGGGGGCTGATTAGGTGAAGAGGCTTGCTGCCATAGGCCCTTGGGGGCAGTCTCAGACAGACAGCGCTGGATACTTGCGTGGACACGCACGTGCTTTTAAGATTCCTTTACTGATTCGCTTGGGCTGCCTTTTAAAAATCAACAGTTCTTCAGGTCATTAGGGGAGTTTGCATTCAGCGGTTCCCTCTACAGTAAACCTGATAACAGCTTCATTCCATCTTTGTATGATACCTCTTCCTCTCTGTAGACAGTAGTTATTGGTTACTTACTTATTAGGCTTCCATCCTTCTTCTCCTCCATCTCCCAGTTTTAGTCATAGTATTCCTTTTTTAAAAAACTGTTTACCTTTTCCGTTGAACACACTTTTGTTACTTGGCTTGTCAACCCCAAGCGTTATCTTGGGCTCCCAGCTACTGAGACGACCAGTGACTGTTCTGCTTTCCACCTTTCCCTGCTATCCTCACTCTCGTCACTTCATCAGTCATGTCCCTGCCTTTGTCAGTGCCGTAGATCTGCGGTTCAGAGTGTTAATGCTTTACTCCGATGTGTTCAGCAAAATCGTCTCCATCATCTCATGGTTGCGTGATTTAACTTCTAGTAACGTGATCTTGCTGAGTTTTAACATCTGTGTCAACCAAACCTCTATTGAGATACAAGACACCATCGTCACCCAGAAAGTCCCCTGGGTGTGCAGTCCATTTTATTGAGGGCATGCAGGCCTCGTTTGGCTAGAGAAAAATTAGGAGCTGAGCAGTTGTATAGAGCCATGGTTCTCGTAGCCACTGTTTTGTGGTGGTTTTGACTAACGTGTTGATTGAGCTGTTCTAACCTTGTAGTAGAACCAAGGTGCCACATGTTGTCAACACCACACTTAGAACAAGATACTCATCTTCTGTCCCATTGTCATGTGGATTATCTCAGGTGAGATGTGACATCAGGAGCTCCCTGCAGTGCTCACGAGAAAATTCTCCAGTCAGGAACACAAGTCCTGTCTGGTCCCACGGACGGATAGGGCAGCGCAGAGACTGCGAGGGTGCGATGGTGTCTCTGCCCAGCAGCTCCCAGAGAGGGGCTGGTGTCCAAGCACCATGGAGGCCTTCCAGGTAGGTTGGGAAAGGAGATGACCAGTGCTAAGCACAGGTGCCTTGCTTTAGACGTAATTACTCCAAACTCACCAAAGTTTGTTGGGAGCGGGGTGCCCAGGCTGAGCTGCGTGAGTGCTCCATGCACGGAGAGGAGGTTGCCTTGCACCTGACGTGTCTCCTGGGGGGCCCCTGCCCCGTGGCAGCCTCTGTCCAGGCTGTCTTCAACACTCTTGGCAGGCCTCCACAGCCGTCATGCTCTGTACGACTTCTGTCCGTTTACGTGTTTTGTCCTACCATGAGCGACCCCTGGGTGGCAGCAGAGCCTAACCCCTGCTGCTCTTTGCCTCCAAGGTGGTGGGGAGGTGGGCTGGTGGAGCATCTGGAAAGTCCTGGAAGGTCCTGGAATCCAGGGGTGTGGAGCTTGGCCTGTCTGTCCACTTACTGTTTTCTGAGTTCTGTTTTGGCACATTTCAGCCGATTCTGGTGGTGTGATGCAAAGGTTCTGCGGGGTGTTATAACGCTGAGGACTGTGAGTGTCCTTTAGGGGAGAGGCCACCCACCGGGACAGGCTCCTGTGGTGGCACTAGCTGTACCCCCGAAGAGTTGAGAACATGTCTCAGTGGTCTCAAAGAAAAAAGGTAAGATGTCTATGACAGCACGAGATCTATTTTTAAACTCACATTTACCTTAATGCGGGCCATCAAGGAGGAAACTAGAATGTAACAGGAATTTTGTATGATTGCTAAAATGAGAATATAGAAAAAAATGGCATGAAAAATGTTATTTTTTCCCCTAGTTTCTCTTTTAACTTTCATAAAAGCTTTAAGTTGGACTCCAATTAAATAAAAATTTGTATAAATATAGGCATTCATTACCTCAGTTTTGAAATAGTTTTAAGATCCTCAAATCATTTAAGAATAACAGAAAAAATACCCACATTACTAACAAAATATAATACAAAATTAACATTAAGAATCATTAAAGAAACATCAACTTTTTAAAAAATTTATTTAAATTAGTTTCAAGTATACAGTACATTGGTTAGACATCTATATAGTTCATAAAACAATCCCCCCATTTGCTCCCTCCCTCCCCTGGCCTTCTGCCTAGCCATTATATTTGTCAGATCATCCACGCCGGCGTGAAGCCCTACGGCTGCGGCGACTGCGGCAAAGCCTTCAGCCGGAGCTCCTACCTCATCGAGCACCAGCGCATCCACACCCGGGCCCAGTGGTGCCACGAGTACGGGAGCGCCCTGGAGGGCTCCGCCCCTGCCGGCCGGAGGAAGGTCGGCACCGCCAAGAAGCTGCACAGGTGTGACCAGTGCGAGAAGATATTCCGGTGGCGCTCACACCTGGTCATACATCAGAGGATCCACACCGGAGAGAAGCCTTACAAGTGTAACGAGTGTGGCAAAGCCTTCAACCGCAGCTCGAGGCTCACGCAGCACCAGAAGACGCACGTGGGCTAGGCCCCGCCCTCCGTGCGGCACGAAGCCACCCTCAGCCTCGACTCTAGTGACACGGACTCAGTGCGATCTGGACTCGCAGTGGGCATACTTGCTGAATGTGCAACCTCGTCCCATTCAGCCAAGCCTATGTCACACCTCGCTGCGCACGTGCAGCCCCTGGCTCACGGAGGGAGGTCACCCAGTGTCTTCCTCCAGCCCCAGCTCCTCGGTGGGCATCAGGGTGAGCACTTGTGAGCGCGCGTTTGCGGAAGTGCAGAGAGGAGGGCCGAGAACCCTTCTTGCTGCTTCACCTGCCCCTCCTCTGTAAACCTCATCCCCATCAGAGCCACCCAAGGTCACAGGGCCCCGGCGCCAGCTTCTTCATAGACGCTGGTCAGTGCAGGTCCGTTTAAGGAGCTCAGATTTGATCTATGACTTTGGGACATCACGTACCCTCCCTGGAACCCAGAGCCTGCTGCCTGAGTGCTGCTCCAGGGTAGTTTTAAGAACCACACTGCCGGGAGGCTTCCCTGTGTCACCCCTCGCTGAGACCCAGACCCTGGTCACCGCTCACAGTAGTCCACAGACGCCACCCAGGGGCCAGGGCGTGTCTCATTCACACTGTTTGCCCAGTTTCCTCAAAAGCCTCCTCCCACCCAGGCTGCTAGGCTGGGAGTCTGGCTGAAGGCACAGTTGGTAGGGCCACATCTGTCCCCTCGCCTCAGGCACCACGGGCGCTGAGAAACAGCGCGCAGATTGCTGGGAGCAGGTAGGGTGAGGGTGTTACCTCACCCCTCCACTCTTTTTTGCCAACTCAGCCTAGAGAAGTGACCAAAGTAATGAGTCACAGCTACCTGGCATTCGTGGCACGCGCAGTAGAGTGTACAGGGACTGCAGCCTGAGGTTTTCTTGGCCGAACTTGAGTCTTCACATGGGTTAGCCACCCTGGCCAACCTAACCGGCAGACTGGGACCACGTCTACTCACTGTCTCACGAGCCTCTGATTATAGGTCACGAAGCCGCAGCGTGAGGCTGACCTGCCTCACTGACCCTGGCCCTGCCCAGGGTCCTTGACTCACCTACTGTGAACAAGCTCCAGGCTGGAGTCCCTCACACAGACCACTGCCCAGTACTACCCCCTCGGGACCAGCCAGTCCTTGGTATCATCACAGTAAGCACAGCGGCTAGAGATACAACCCGATGAAGACTCCCATTTTTCCCACATGCAAACAGGTAGCCCAGAGGGCACAGGTCACTTCAGCATCTATTGCAGCACTCGACTAGGGTCACTCACACTGGTTTGACAGGTCTCCGAGACCTTGCAGACTGTCACCATGCATGGCACAGCCCATAGCCAACCATGGCTTTGTATCAGGCACAGCGAGTGATGGTCCCTGCATCTGCACCAGAGGGTTCCAGGCCTGTCCGGTGGCATTGGAAGCAGCAGAGTTCAAGACCCCGAGTCCCGTGCGTTTCTGTTCCCAGCACGTGGATGGGAGTCAGCCCCACAGCAGGTCAGCCTGAGCGCCTACTGCCGCTTAGCTCGCCGCTGCAGCTCTCTGTGGTCGTCCGCAGACTTGGCGCGGGCGCCGTGAAATCTACATGCCCACTTCAGTCGCAGTGACTGTGCCCTCCAGCTGTCCTTGTGCCACCCAGAACATGTCCAGAAGGGCCAGTACAAGAGGACCAGGGACCTCTGTAAGTTGTGCAGAGGTGACACGTACTGTGTTTCCGCCTCAGCTGCTGTGCTCAGCCAGGTGGCCAGCACCTGCGCTCCTGGACCGGGGGAGCCGCACCTGAATGGGCTGGAAGTTTCTTAGGTCATCCAACAGTGGGACGAGAGTCAAGGTCCTGAGTGGACAGCCACTACTCCC